CCCCCCCCAGCCCCTTCCCTTCCAAAAATAATAAGAAATGCTTTACATGCACTTTGCCACATACGCGTGGACCTTACTCAATATCTTCCCAAGGTAATAAACGAATTTTTAATAGTTTTCAGTTTTAACACGAGTATAACATTAAATCTACAAGTACCGGTTAGGCCAAAAAGTTAAAGACTCGCAAAGACCATAGTTTGGCTACTGTAAATTGCTGCGGTGTACGCAGGCCACAGACCATGATTTAGCTAGGTACACCACCGCGGTGTACGCAGGCCAAAGTCAATAGTTTCGCTAGGTACACCGCCGCGGTGTACGTAGTGCCGGCCTATTCGGCCTAACCTTATATTATATGTAATTATTTATCACAGAATATGTTCAGTAATAATTCATTTGTGAACATGACAAAAGTAACTATGATCATTTGTCAAACTTATGTAAAATTATTACCTTCATCCAAATGCTAGCTCTTTGGTAAAAAAAGATTTTTTTAAATGGGTCATGGTTTTGGAAGCAGAACTACTGGTGTGTGACATACCCACAAAACATACATTGAACACTTGAAATGAAACCAGTTAAGAACTACTGGCGTGATAATAAGATGTTTTCACATTTTTGTGTAATTATATTTTTGGATTGAACTTAAGTTTTTTTACTAGCAATAAATGAACTATGTTGATTAAAAATTAAGAATTTTTTTTTTTAAGTTACCAACAATAATTTTTTTAATTTTCAGGTTTTAAGAGATGGTGCTAGAAATGAAGACCTTTATGAAGTGGCAAAACTATTTGATATCTATGACACTCAAGCTGAAGCAGCGGAGGAAAGTGCTGCAAGTTGAAGCATCTCCTAGAGCGAAGTTTAAGAACAGAAAGAATGTACAAATATCTACCATAATTGTCCATACATTCACAGATTTTCTAAATGCACATGATGTGAATTCGTTTACTTTAATTATTTTCAGCTCCATATGTATGTTCCTTCTTCATATTACTATTACTCGTGAGGGAAATACTAATAGAATAATTTTAATTTTGAAAGACCACATTGCTCATTTTTCATTTACTGGTTGCAATGCTGCTGTAGACTTTTGTTATATTTACCACTTGGGGAATAGTCTTTTTCACTTTAGGAATATTTTTTCTAAGAACTTAATAGATGTAGTATTTATTTTAAATGTCTTAATCAAATTTGGATAAAGCATACTGAACATCTCAATTCCCTACCTAAGTGAAAATTTAACACAGGTGTTAAGGGAATTATAAATATAGTCATAATTATTTGATGTTTTTGGGCCGATTTTTTATTTGATAGGTGCTATCCTGATTAATATTTAAGTAATATTGTGTGGCGAGCTTATTTGGAACCTTCTTCAAACTACTCCAGGATTATCTGAAGTAAAATACATTCATTCTTGACTTTGTAGTTAGTAGCAAAGAAAAGTATTTTGACAGTAAGGTGACAATGAAAATTTAATAAACTGAAGATGAAAAAAAAAACACTTCTGACTTTCTACCATCTTTTAAAACTGAATTATACATTAGTTATAACTATTCAACCATTTCTAATGTGTCATTTTGTTTTCTTTAATGATTTTATTTATGTGATAATGGTGTTACAGACAATAAATTAAACATGTATATTTTGGAAAATCAACAAATAATTTTCAGTTATTTTTAAAAGAATAATAAAACGATGACTATTATTACTATTAAATAATATACCTTTTAATTATTCCAAAAACAAATCATTACATGGCTTGTTAATTAATTAAACTAAATTATTTATGAGCCAGTCTTATTTAACAAATTCTTGGGAAACCAGCTCGGTCTTTGCTTTTCCATATTCACTACAAATTTTCCATCACTTCCACTTTCTCCTGCATAGACAATCTCTACTTCCTGTCTTGGAACATTAAACTGTAAGTCATCTCCCATTTTTGCTTGCATTTCTTTGGTTTCTAATTGCACTTTCTCATAGCAATGCTCTATATTCAGAAAGAAAAGATAATCATTTCAATTTAGAGTTAAGTTGTTTTGGCTAGTTTATTTATTCTGATTGTTGAATTTTTTTTTATGAAATGGACTTTTAACTTGTTTGAGAAGAATTAAAAAAACTAAATATTTAAAGAGAATATAACTTTCAAAACTGATTTGCCATATTGCAATTTATTTAAATCCCTTTATTTATAAATATAAATTTATTTTTGAAACTAAATTATTTTAAACATAAGAAACTTACTACAAAGGTGTCCTTTCTCTCTGAAGTTCCCGCACTCCAGGCACGGAACAATTGTGGTTTTGGGGGTAGCATATTCCATGAAATTCGTAAAGCGATGCTTCCTAAAAAGCCTCTTCTCCAATGATCTCCTATGTTTAGGAACAGCCAGTAAAATACCATCAAATATGGAATCCAATAATGATTTTGCAGAATTCTGATCAAGATTATCCTTTTGGGAAGCAGTCAAATCTGTATAACATCCTGTAACTGCAAATGCTGGAGGTGGATCTGTTTAAAGAATTAAAAATGTTCTTTATATACCAAACCTCGTTGCCTGTATTTATAGATTGCATTAGACATTTAACTACTCTGATAAGAAGCATAGTGCATACCAATAGAAAGCCATCATGTTACTGTTCTTTAAATAAGGTGTTAGCTGATAAACATTACAATAATCTTTTCCAAAATGTATCAGTGATGACCAACTCAAATAGGGAGTGGACATTAGAAACCCTTAAAAACTAATATAAATTTATTAGATAGATATATACACAAATATATATATACACATTGAGCCAACACCAAAGCCTATCTTACTGTTTAATTAAATTAATGAGTAAATCATATTATTATTTTATATGGCATCCTTCCGTCTTCGCAAGACGATGGAGTAGCTATGTAGTCCTACACTTCGACTAGTGGCTCACTAGGCCAATCCTGGAATGACAATCTAGACTGCATTTCTCGCAGGAGAAAATTGATTCCTGGTTATGTTTGGTCTTCTGTATTGTTCTTTTTGTTGCAAGGGCTTCGTTTCGCGCATCTTCTGCCTTTTTTACTCCTTCATGCACTGCTGTTCACCAGCTGGAATGTTGTTCGGCAATGATCTTCCATTTGTTGATATCAATGTTGGCTTCCCTCATGCTACTTTTGCAAACGTCCTTAAATCTCAGGCATGGCCGTCCAACAAGTCTTGTCCCTTCTACCAACTCTCCATACAGCAGCATCTTTGGGATACGGCCTTCCTCCATTCTCCTTTCATGGCCTAACCAGCAAAGGCGCCTCTCGCTAAGAGCGGAGAATATGCTAAACATTTTTGCACGTTCCAAGCCCTCTGTGTTCTCAAGCACCTTGACCTGCCATCGAATGCGTTAAATGCGACACAGACATCATTGATGGAGGCTGTTGAGTTTCCGCTCAAGACTGGTATATGTGGTCCACACTTCACTGCCATATAGGAGCGTACTAAGCACACATGCCTGATAGACACTTAGTTTTGTTTTTTCAGTTAGATTGATATTATTCCACACCTGCTTATTCAGTTTAGCCATAGTTGCTGCTGCTTTTGCAATCCTGATATATATCTCTTCATTAACGGAGAGAGAAATAGAAATATTGGATCCAAGGTATGTGAAATGCTCAACAACCGACAGATTATGGCCCTCAATATATTTGATTGGAGGGGACAGTGCTTCTTGCATCATGACATGTGTTTTCTGTAGACTGTCACTGTCAGTCCAAACTCTTCACAAACTGTGACAGACGATTAACCAGTCCCTGAAGTATTATTTTATGCCTAGATAATTATACACTAAATTCACTAAGCCTAGTTAAAATATTTTGATTTAATTTTAATAATAATTATAGGCTTATTTTAAAACTGACTCCTTGATGAGTATTTGACTCAATTTGAGGGTAAAGAAGTTCAATTCAAATGGAACTTTTTTTTTTTTCATATTTGCACCAAAATTAGAAGCTGGGGTAGTATTTAGAATTAAGTTAATTTAGTATTAGTATTATTAATATTTTAGTTAAACTGAAGAAGTTTTCAGAAGTAAGTTTACAAACATATCATATAATAGGCCTAGTCATAGTCATAGTCCATTCAATTATCTTTCATTTCATATCAATATCAAATTTTGTCTTACAAGTCCTACAATAATATTTTTTTAAAACACCCAACCTCTAACTTATGATAGTGATACCTGGATCCGAATAGCCGCAGCCATTATTAATAATACTAATAATCTGACACTAGTAGTCTAGTAATTTAATCCTACTTAAATTACCCCGGTACTTAAATGAATGAATGTAAAGTAAAAGTAACAGTAAATAAATAAAAATGGCTTAATTTTTGCAAATTTCAGTTTAGTAGTCCAAATGATAGTTTTGATAAGTTTCATTATTAAATAAGAGCATCGTATTTAGGTTTTAAACTTACGGTTTCCGTTGATTAAGTAGATTACAGCACGCAAATTATTCAAAGACAAATTTAATTTCCCTACGAAGGACGTAACGAAAGTCTTTAAGGAGGTGGCCATTTTGATACTTTGACTAAACCTACCTTAAAGATAAGAGAGGTTGGGTGATTTTTTTAAATATTTTTTTTTGGTGACCAGAAATATGCGCACAAGACAAACGCGCACACGATAAAAGGGCACAGAAAAATCCGCTAATACATATTTGCGCACAGGAAAACTGCACACACCGACAGTTACGCACACAGAAAAAAGCGCACACCGACAAATGCGGACACAGAAAATTCCGCACACGGACAATTGCGAACGTTAATAATAGTAATAGCGAACACACACACGTGCGCAAATTTCAATGCCATTTTATTTTAAGCCACATTTTTAGATTTAAGATGGTTCAGTTCAATTCCCTATCAGCATAAAAGGCAAGTTGGGAAGAATAAAAGTATACGAATCAGTGAGAAAGTATGATAAAAATTGAATTTAAAAATAATTTAAACAACAAAAAATATAAATAGCGAAACATTTTTTTCACTGCGAATTATAGCGCACATTGAACAACTGTTTGCAATGCTTTCAGCCTTATTCAAATTCTATTGTTTTCAGACCTTATTCAAATTCTATTGTTTTCAGACCTTATCTCATTCATTGATTCAAATTCATTTAGCATTAGTAGGCTTACCTACAATTTTCAAGACCTCAATCATATAGCATTATAATTAGTGCATACCCTTTGTAGAAAACCAAAAGTTTATTGGGTCCATTTTCCTGGATTTATTCATTTGTGTAATAAAAATATATTAAATAAATCAAATCCACTGGGATTCCAAACTTCCTTAAATAATCTCTTGTTTTAATTTGGAACAGGAAACCGTTTGTCTTAACTCTGCATGCTGGAAATAACCTTCCATTATTTACACTCACAATCATAATTATACTATTAATAACCATAGATTATGTTAAAAGACTTTGTAAAAAGAAACTACATTAGTTAATCACTGAGACATTAACAAACAAATTTACAATAATAGAACAGTAGGCTAATAAATATTAGGACTAAATACATTTCACTGAGACTGAGAGAAAAAACTAAGGGAAACAGTTCATTCCTTACAATAACAAAATAAATTATAGTAGATATCCAGGAATTTTTCTAGGGTAATTTTATGATTGCTTTCCTGAGTGTTGTTGTTGAGCCTTCTCGTCCATGAGGGCATCCACCGATCATCGTCGGCGTCTGCGGTTCCTCCAAGGGCATAGGCCACCTACGAGAGACCTCCAGGCATCTCTATCCTGGGCCAGCTTCTCCAGGATCTTCCATTCATGGCCAATTTTCTTGATGTCTGTCTCCAATTCTCGGCGCCAAGTGTTTCTTGGACGGCCTCTTTTCCGCTTACCCTGTGGGTTCCATTTCAGGGCTTGCTTTGTTATGTTAGAAGCAGGTTTTCTTAGTGTATGACCAATCCACCTCCACCGCTTCTGGAGAATCTCTTCCTCAATGGGTTTCTGTTTTGTCCGCTGCCACAGTTCCTGGTTGCTGATTTTGTCTGGCCAGTGAATTCTGAGAATCCTTCTTAGACAGTTGTTGATGAAGGACTGGATTCTGGTAAGGTTTACGGCCGTTGTTCTCCATGTCTCGGCTCCATATAGCAGCACAGGTTTTACCATAGCGTTAAAAATCCTTACTTTTAACTTGCTGCCTAAGTTGTTAGAGACCCAAACATTCTTGAGTTGTTGGAAGGCTGCTCTTGCTTTTCCTATCCTTATTTTGACGTCCGCATCTGTACCACCTTGTTTATCTACCATGCTGCCAAGGTAAACAAAACTGTCCACCTCCTCAAGGGCTTCTCCTTCAAGCATAATGGGTGATGTACTGGTGGCATTAACCTTGAGGATTTTACTCTTCCCTTTGTGAATGTTGAGACCCATGCTAGCAGAAGTGGCTGCGACAATGTTTGTTTTCTCCTGCATCTGTTGTTGGGTATGTGCAAGAAGTGCAAGATCATCAGCAAAGTCAAGATCATCCAGTTGATCCCACAGGGTCCATTGGATGCCATTTCTTTTCTGCTGTGTAGATGTTTTCATCACCCAGTCAATGGCTAACAGGAAGAGGAATGGTGACAGCAAGCAACCTTGTCTCACACCAGTCTTCACCTGGAAAGCATCTGTCAACTGCTGGCCATGGATAACTCGGCAGTTTATCCCTTCGTACATGTTTCTGATTATATCAGTAATCTTCTGTGGCACCCCGTAATGCCTTAGCAATCTCCACAGGGTTTGCCTGTCAACACTGTCGAAGGCTTTTTCATAGTCAACAAAGTTGACATAGAGCGGCGAGTTCCACTCTAGTGACTGCTCTAGAATGATGCGCAGTGTCGCTATCTGGTCCGTGCAGGATCTGTTGGTGCGAAAGCCGGCTTGTTCGTCCCGCAACAGAGGGTCTACAGCGTTTTTCATCCTGTTAAGTAGTACACGGTTGAAAACCTTTCCTGGGATGGACAGCAGGGTGATCCCTCTGTAGTTCGAGCAGGAGCTTAAGTCTCCCTTCTTTGGGATCTTGATAAGGTATCCCTCTTTCCAATCGGAAGGAACTTGCTCCTCTTCCCATATCTTCATAAACAGAGGGTGTAGCATTTCCACACTGGTTTCCAGGTCCGCCTTCAGTGCCTCTGCTGGGATGCCATCAGGTCCCGCAGCCTTTCCATTTCTGAGTTGTTTAATGGCCCTGCTAATCTCTTCTTTGGTGGGACTATTACAGTCAATTAGCAGGTCATTATCGGCTGGTTGGATATCTGGTGGATTTCTTGGTTCAGGCCTGTTCAGGAGCTCTTCAAAGTGTTCCTTCCATCTCCCTCTCTGTTGCTCCTCACTTGGTATGGTGTTTCCCATTTTGTCCTTCACTGGTCTCTCTACCTTGCTAAATTTCCCTGACAGCGTCTTAATGGTATCAAACAGTTCCCTCATGTTCCCCTGGTGAGCTGCATCCTCTGCTTCTTTAGCAAGTTTATCAACAAATTCCTTCTTGTCCCTCTTGATGCTTTTCTTAACTTCCTTATTTGCATCTGCATACTCCTTCTGGGACTTGTTTTTCTGTGCTCGGGTGCGGCTGTTATTCACTTCTGATTTCTTTCTTTTCCTTTCTTCTATTTTATTCAGCGTACCTGCTGTCATCCATTCTTTGTGTGCCTTTTTCCTGTTTCCTAGCACTTCTTGACATGTTGACTGGACTGTTTCTTTCATGCTTTGCCACTTTCCTTCGGTGGTTTCATCTTCAAGTATTTCTTGTAGGACTTTTTCCTGAGTGTACTAAAGTAAAACATAATCGCAGATCTGCCAACCCTTCCGATTTCGGCTAATATTATTCTTTTTTTTTTTTTTTTAACTTATTAATATCGCAAGTATATGACATTCGGATTCCGTGTATGAGTATAGAGCATTCTATAGGCTATAACTTAAGTTCGTTATTTTCAACTACCCGGTACTATAATTTATAATTATAATGAAACTCAATTAGGCTCAGGTACTAGGAGTAGGACAATTATTTTAAACTATAGAGTAGACAGCTTAACGAACCTCAATTAGGCTAGGTAGGGTAGGCTACTGTTAGGAGGTGGACCATTATTTTAAACTATAATGAATAATGAAACATGATTAGGTTTAGACTAGGGCTAAGGGTAGGAGGATTATTTTAAATTATATAATTTAAAATGTCTAATATACAACTCAATTGTCAATTATTCTTAGGTACTAGGAACAGTAGGAAGATTATTTTAAACTATAATTAATAAAACTAAAATACTTAGGACGATTATTTTAAGCTATAATTATAATACTTCATTACGACGAAAATATAAAACTGCTTACGCCTACAGTTACAAGTTACAGGCGTCATTTTGCTTATTGCGACTATAATTTAAAAGTAAAAGTAATACTTTCCATATCGTTATCATACTCTTGGCTCTTATGTAACTTATTAAGTCTTATGATGCGTACAGTTTTTTTCATCACTGTCATCAGTAATAGTAATATGTTTAAATATTTTTAATGGAGCATAATGGGGCCGTCCATAAAGTACGTCACGCTATTTTTACCCCACCCCCTCCCCCCGTCACAAACTGTCACAAATCTTGGAAA